GTATTAGGAAATTGTGATTATTATTTAATTTAATTATTTGGAGAAGGTTCCATCCATGTCGAGTTGCATCACAAGCTATAACAATGACTATTAAGCAACAATATTCTAAGTCATGGCTGACATGGGGTTCAATGACCGATGTTGAAAAAGAGACATTCTTTCAACGATTTAAAGTAAGTTTTCTTATATTTAGGTTGATGAATTATTTTTATTACTTACATTCATTGACACAATTATTATTATTTGTTTTTTTGTGTAAATCATTTGCAAAGAGAAAGGTCACCTGGAGACCTGAAGATGAGGATAGGATTCGAAAGAATTTTCACTCAAAGGCCTCACATAGGCTATCCGAATTGTTCAAAGATGCTAGAAGGACAGGTCAAAAGCCCTATTGGATGTTTGATGATGTGTGGAAAACTCTGTTGAACAAGTGGAACTCAATTGATTATCGTGCAAAGTGTGCACAAGCTCGGAAGAATCGATCTTCGAGACGGGTGGTAGTTTACACACAGGTGGTTCTATTAGTATGCATGAACACGCCATTCGTATGGTAAATATGAAATTATAACAAAAGTTTCTTTCTTTCATTTCTTCATGATATGTTATTAATTAATTTTTTTCCAGGAAAAGGAGTTGGGTCGTCCTGCACATATTGATGAGGTGTTCAAACGGACTCATATACGAAAGGTTAATGGTGAATTTGTTGATGAAAGGTCTAGAAAAACTCATGTGAGTTGTGAACTTATTTAATATTACTCTATTACTCTCTTATATGTTATGATGGATATGTGTTGTATATCGTACATAATTTTTATGTGTATGTGAATAGGAAGAATTTCGGAGAAGATACTACGAGGCTAGATCCGAGGCAGCATCTGTCGTCTGCTGAAACCAAGTCATCTTCATTAGATCCTATAGAGGAGGAGAGAATAAGGACTGAAAGTTGGATTCTTGCTGCATCTAGCAACAAAAAGGGTCGGATCTACGGTGTTGGAGAACTTGCCCATAAGTTTAGGCCCGGAGATACCCTCTCATATTCGGCATGTACTTGATTCTCGTGAGATTACACAATTAAAGAAACAAGTGCTTAGTTATAGGGAGGATAATGAAAGATTGAACCACCAATTACAAACACTTGTCGGTGTTGTCCTTCCTTTACTTCCACCCGATGCCCGACAAGCATTTCAACAACAACATTCCCAACAAGGATCACAACAACAATCACAACAACAATCACAACAGGAGCGGCAAGTGCGGGAAGAGCAGCAACAACAATCACAAAATGAACCAGACTTTCGTAGAGCAGACCTCAAGATGAACAAGGACATTACTATAATTATTAGGACACTCAAACAATATTGTCATAATATTTATTATAGTACTTCTTTGGATTTGTATGTTCTTAGATATTTGAAGCACTACTTGATGCATGCTAATATTAGGATTTGTGTTTGATATCCGAATATGCATTTGGTGCATATAAATATTATGGAATATTGTTAAATTTGATATCTAAATATTTTGTGTAATATGCATGCTAATATTAGGATTTGTGTTTGATATCCGAATATGCATTTGGTGCATATAAATATTATGGAATATTGTTAAATTTGATATCTAAATATTTTATGTGTAATATGCATGTAACAGGTAAAATTTAGTTAAATTGGTGGTGATAAAATTTTATAAATTTACTTAGTGATTTTCCTACGGATTTACCTACGGATTTTGAATGAGGTAATACCTACGGATTGCAATCCGTAGGTAATTACCTACGGATTCTGTTCGTGGGTAACTACCTACGGATTGCAATCCGTAGGTAATTACCCACGAACAGATTCCGTAGGTAATTACCCACGGACGACATTACCTATGGATAGTAATTCCGTAGGTAATTACCTACGACCATATTACCTACGGATTTTCTACGGAAAAAAATCCGTAGGTAAAATGACATTACCTACGGATTTTTGCCATTACCTACGGATTTTTGCCATTACCTACGGATTTTTGCCGTAGGTAATAGGCTTTTTTTTTGTAGTGAAAATTAAATAATGGGAAACGAATTGATTTAAATTGAATACGTAACATATAAACCTACCGACTCCTAAGAAAGTTTTCACCTTGAGTCTCTTGTCAATAGTTTTTGGTTTTCTATTCATTTTGCAATATATTCTATTTGAAACGATTGGTTTAGATAATTGAATCACTGTGTACCGGTACTTGGGCATAATCTCTGTGGGAACGATAACTTTTTATTACGCGATACTCCGTACGCTTGCGGAACGGCTATCAATAACATTATGATCTTATTTCTACGTTGAAAGCTCATATTGCTATAATGATATTGAATATAGTTATCTCCTTTTGTGTTGGCCAAACTTTTCCTTATTTCATAGAACATAATGGTCTCTTGTAGTAGAATGACAGGTTAATAGTGTTGAAATAGTTCTCCCTTACCTTGAAGTTAATTCAAGAATTTTATGATTCCAATGGGAGGTAAGTTGAGTTCTTACATACGTATCAATGCCTTCTTACTCAATTTTATTGGCAAGGATAAAAAAACGTTCATGACTATGTTAGACATATTTGGGATGATATTGTAATAAATTTTATTACAAGGCTTCAACTAGTGAATGGATATACACTAAATATAGTGGTCATTGACAAGTTGTCCAAACATTCTCATTTGATTCCCTTGAAAACTCATTTTACTTCTAAAATAGGTAACCAATTCATACAACGTATGGATGACTTGGTTTGTGTCAATATCCAACCTTATAAAATAAAATTACATTACTAACACATCATCACCAAAAATTGGGGCCTGTGACTTTGGTCCTTTATCTGTTGTGGATAGTATTGGTAAGGTAGCATATCGTTTGCTATTATCTCCTATAGATCGGTTTCATTTTATCTTCCATGCTTCCCTACTTAAGAAGTGCATTGGTGATCCTCCTAAGCAATGTTTTGCACCACCTCGGAATTATGAAGAGGAGGATTCCACTCCGCAACCTATCAAAATTCCTGATTCAAGTTGTATATGGCAACAAGTTATTGGAGTGATTAAATTTTTAGTTCAATGATCTAATTTGTCCTAGGACAAAAACACTTGAAATTTTGTTTCCTTCATTTAAATCGACTTTCCTTCGTTTGACCTTGAGGGTAAATTCAATTTTCAAGGAGGTAGTATTGATATGGATAATGTAGTAATTACAAGTGCTATAAGTGGGAAGAAAATTACTGAACCAAGGCGTGTAACAAGTCTGAGAAGCTAACTTGATCAATGATACACGAAAAAAAGAAAGGTTAATAATTAGTAACAAAGTATGTGTCTTATATAAAATAAGTTGTCATTACTGTAGAAAAGATTTTTTATGTCGGTTAAAATGAATTTTTTACGTCAATTAAAGAGGCGATATAAATATATGGATTATAGAAAGTAAGACTTTTTACGTCGGTTATTATGAACCGTCATAGAAAGTATCACTTTCTACGTCCGTTTATCATACAACCGAAGTAGAAAGTCTTACTTTCTATGTCGGTTTATATTGTTAACCGACGTAGAAAGTCTCACTATTTGAACCTCTTCAGTGCGAATAGGGATTGGGGCAACAACATCCCGAACAAAATCAAGAAAGATTGTGACTTAGAATTTAGCAACTAAATTGGTTAAAGGGCACCCATGATTTTTCCCTCTGTTGACAACATTATCACATACCATAATCAAAACTGTAAACCTAGAATGACTATAGAAATACATTCAAATGGCGCTAGAGCAGACATGAAAACTTACCTCTCGAAGACCTAGAATCAAAACTTGCAGCGAAGGTCACCAACGACAGCAGCGACAAGTGGCACGATGACAACAGGTGACGCGACGTACAACGACGATAGGTGGCGCGGTGTACAGAGGCGACAACAGCGGCAGGTGATGTGACGATAGTGGTAGGTGGCACAACGACAGCGGCAGGTGGCACAACGACAGCGACAGGTGGCGCGACATACACCGACGACGAGGTTCGCAGTAGAGACAAAGAGAATGAGAAGCTCTATTATGGGTGAAGTGATGAAATGGAATGGCGAGGACAAAGAAAAACATAAGATACTATGTCGATTACCCAAATATTCGTCATAAAATACATTTTTTATGTCGATTAAACTAAAATCGACGATTAAATTTCAATCGACATAGAAAGTATGTCGGTTGAAATTTAACCAATATAAAAAGTGAATTTGCTTATATACTATATCGGTTACATAATAACATATATAAAAAGTTTATAAAATTATTAAAAAATGTTACCATCTTATATATACTGTGACGCTGGATTATAATTGTCATAAAAATTGTTATAGAATTATATTTTTTCACTAATGTGTAATTGTATCCTGCTTATGTCTAGAATTTGTACTCCTTTTCTATTCTTTGTTCTTCCTTAGCCTCATGTCCAATGTTATATATATTATTTCTTACTCTATTCTCCTAATTCCGTAATGCTTTATGTAAATATTAGTATTATTAACGAAATAGAGAAATTTCTTATCTTGCTATCTTTTCTGTTGTAACGTAACATTTACTTGTTTTTTATTTTTATTATTTTTTTCATTTAACCTCTATCTATTTTTATGCTTGATTTTACTACAGATTTAGCCAGGCGTGATTATAGCATCTTTTACATTAACATAAACTACTAGGAGTTGATTAAGAAAATATGATAAGTTGAAAACGACGAAAATGATGAACAGACTAGTATTGTATAGTATAGCATAATCGGGACACTTAACTATTCAGGAATCACACCACAGAGCTAAAGCTCCGATGTTATAATTACCAGCACACTACTACAAAAGTAAGACACAAAGACACAAAGAGAAACCACTTATTTTGTCATTATTCCGCATATGCATGTTGTGAGAGCCCTAGGGTTGATCTTCAACCATGAATGCATATATAATATATACCATGAAGGTAGTAAATTAGTTATATAAGGAGATGATCAACGTCCAATCCTAGCACCAGTGTTGAAGGTCCCATTTCCGAAATCCTGCTTTCCAGAGCTAGAGTTGTTGAAGGAGTCTATAGTTCCATTGTTGTTATTGCTATTCAAGCGATTCCCGCTAATATTTGCACCAGTATTGAACGTGCCATTTCCGAAATTCTGCTTTCCAGGACCAGAGTTGTTGAAGGAACTCTTGGTCCCGTTGTTGCCCTTGGAAGGGTTGTGCTTCTTCCTGTTGGGGTTGCTACTCTTGGAAGAATTGTGGCCCCTGTTGCTACTCTCGCAAGGCACGTTCATTGTTACAACAGGGTAGCGATAGCCACATCCTCCCGAATGCCCCAAACCCAAGAGGCTGCATAAGAAAGTCATGCTGTCAAAGCAAACTACGGATCTCTCTCTTATCAATCTCAATCTGTTCTTCCTCTCGTTGATTTCTCAATTTGGTGTTTTTCCTTGTGCCTGATGTTCTCTGCTATCTAAGCCTGCGTTTTATAGAGGTTGAATGGGAATCTGATGGTACTCATTTCTTAAACACGAAGCCATTTTTCGTCTCACAAAACCTATGACCATCGACAGCTGGTCTGAGCATACGTCATATGAAGCATTTATGATGAAGTCACAAGCCAACAAACCTAAAATCCAAATGCTAATGTTTAAGTGTTCCAAGTGATATGCAATTCCATTTATTTAAGAAAGGTTTGTATTTATAAATAGAAAAAAAAAACTAATCGAGAGAATAGATTGAATCGAGATTATTAATTAGATTTTTCGATGAAGATTATTCATCAATAAATTTAGTACATATATACCAATATTAATTAAGGGTGTGTTTGGTGAAATTTTGATTAATTTCGATTCTTAAGAGGCTTTGATTCTAACCAAAACCCAACCACGTAGATTCTTTTTACTTAGGCTATCAAATGGTTTTTCAATCGAAAATTTGTATGAGAATCGAAAATCCTATAGCATCACAAATCCTAACGCAACCTAGTATGCGGAATGACAATCGAAAGCATTATTTTTGGTATTTTGTATTTAAAGTATTCGAAGTAAAGAAAACAGTAAAGTGTCGAATCAAAAAACAAGTACAGAATATTAAATTGCGAAGAAATGCAAAATTCAGAAACCTCAAATTTGCATTAAGTGTAAACGACAAAGAATCGAAATTGCGGAAAGGTAAATAGCAGGAAATCGAGATTGCATAAAGTGTAAATAGCGAAGAACTTAAATGCATAATCTTAACTTACATAAAATTAAAGTAACAAGGAATCAAAATTGCATGAAAGTAAAGACCGGGAAATCGAAATTGCAGGAAAGTAAAGAACGGGAAATCGAAATTGCAGAAATGTAAATGGCGAGGATCTTAAACGCATAACCTTAACTTGCATAGAAGTAAATGACAAGGAATTGAAAGTGCAGAAACTTAAAGTTGTTAAACGTAAACTGCATCAAAATAAATTGCATGAACATAAATTACCAGGGAAAGTACAAAAAGCGGTAAAGACAATCAATGAAAATGGAATTCTAGCGCATTAGAGACTTCATGATGCGTCGTTTTCCTGTAGACTTGTTCACTTGCGCCTCTGTTATCTCTGCCAAAATTCCCCTTCTTCTTCATGCTTTGCTCTATTTATAGAGCGCCTTTCAAGTAACCTCCTAAGAGTAGTTAGCAAACTGCCACCACGATCTATCATGCACGTCCCTCAGTTCCACGCTCTAAAAAAATGTATTTGACATTCCTATGCATGAGATAACTGCTCCCTTGACCTTTGATCTCTGCCATGGTTTAGAAATCGCTTCCCATGTTCTATGTGTGCGTTAACCGTTCCCTTGATCTAACTTAGCCAGAATTTTGATGGTCGTGCATGTTAACTTTTCCCTCGATTTCGATTTCAAAATCTCGAAAACTTTGCATTGCTTTTTTTATTCCCCTTTAACCTTCACATTACATGACTCTAATTCCTCGATTTTCTTCAACGATAGGCATTAAATATTCCTCTTTCGATTCTCGATTCTAGTTCTCGATTTATGTTACATGGTCATCGAATGTTTTCCAACCATCTTTTCACTTTATCAGTTTAACCAATCATATGATCCCCGATTTTTTCTTTCCTTCGTTTTTCGATCCCTTTATCGATTTCCTACTAACAGGGTGTTAAAAATAGTTAAACTACACTAGAAATGTAATTAATTGAATTGAACTATACTATAAAAAACTGAACCACTTTTATTAAAAAATAAACTAAATTTTCTTATTAGATCAGGTTTAAAAGAACAAAAAAATTAAACTATTGAAAGAATAGTGTTTAGTGCACCATTTAAACTGTGTTGAAAGAAATTATTTATATAATATCATTTATTACTTATTTTTGAAGTCGTTAATTCTTTTAAATGAAAGCGACTTTTTTTGTCTATACATATAAGTTTTATATGTAAATAAAGTAATAATTTCATGTTTAGTAATGTTTTAGTTCTGGAAAAGAAAAATGGCTTATTAGTATTGTGTTTCTGCAAAATTAACGTGAAATATTCATGTTCTGGAAGTAGAAAATTATTCCATTCACAGGAAACGAATACATATTTAACTCCCAGCCATTTAAACATGAATAAGTATCTGTTCGCTTTGCCGAGGATCTTATTCCTATTAGAGTTTCAAATACGATAAGATCACTTGACACTAACATTCAATTTCATGTTTAAATGAATCTCTGTATCAACTATCAATTTATTATTTTGGTGATTTTTCATTGTTTTGAAATAATTATTTTCCTTAATTAATCCTTTCCCAATGTGCTTTTAAAAGTCCTGCTTCTCTTCTTGAATCAGATTTTTCGTGCATTTCTTGAGTCCTAGAAAGATTTTTCAACAAATCTAGTAAGAGTTACATCATAGTCTAATCACAGGCTTCTTCTTCCTTTTTTTTTTTTTTTTTTCATTCTTCAACTTTGCTTATTCTCTTGAATTACTCATTAAGTTAATTAGTACGAGTATATGTTGTTGGTGTTTATCTTTATTTTTAAGAAATTTGACAAAACTATTTGTTTTGACCCACAAATTCTTTGTTTGATTTAGTTATAGTGTTTTAGTTAAATATTGCAAAGTTTGGAAATAAAAGATTTGAAGGGTAAAAATGCTAGTGTTTGAAGTAAATTAATAAATGTGGATTATTACTTGAGAACTCAAAACATAGCCAATTTATTTTCCCTTTTCTTGTCTTATAACTTCTAACTTGTGTAATAAGTGTCCTTTTCTTTTATTTTCCAACTTAGTTCTAGTTTAATTGTTCCTTTCGGATTGCTAGTTTCATACTTTTGTGTTTTGTTTCATTTTTTGGTATTAATATTGACCGTTGTAACTTCTTGGTTGGTGAGTTCTTGATTGATTGTTGTAATTTTTCATCTTTTGTTGAAGGAGATTTGTTTAATCAAGTAAAAACTTAAAAAGAAATTATGAAAAAAGACGAGAGTTAGTTACATTCCCTTAAAAATCAACCTGAGTGTAAACAAGAGTTGAACTATCAATTAGAGTGTAAATTGAAGAACTTCTTGATGGAGATGTGTTATATTTAATAATCTAACTTTTCCTTTGAAGATTAAAGAATTATACATGGTGTGTCATGTAAATTAACGTTGCATGTAAGTTTCTCTCGAATTATTTGATTTTGAAAAAGTTTTAGAACTTATCTTTTTATCGTTGAAAACATGCTATGCATATATAAAGAGATGATAAAAAATGCTACGATTCTATGTATATATATTTCTCTGATATATATGATATTATATGAATATATATATATATATATATATATATATATATATATATATATTATTCATATAATTTATTTATATATAAAATAAAAATATAATAAAATATTAAATATTAATAATGTCTTAATTATAATTATCTAAATTAAAATAATAATTTAATATTTTTTCTTAAAAATTAATAAAATCTTTTAATACTTAATTTAAATAAAAAATAATAAAATATATATCCAAAATCTTCATGCTTAATTGTAACATGTGTGTGCCTAATGTCAATATAAATTCTTTCACACTCGCTTAATTACAACTAAATCATAGAAAGCCTAATGAAAATTTATTTTTTGCATTAAAATTTTTAATCTATTAAAAGTTGATTTAAATAATTAAATTATTTTAAGACCATTTTAATAGATTAAAAACTCGATTTAATTGATTGAAAATATTAAAGCCAAATAGGTATGTAAGATTGTATTTAAATATGTTAAAACAAAGTTTCAGTCAATTAAAATATCCTTTGATAGTTTTTACATGATTTTGAACCGTGTGGATTTAATCTATTAAAAGAGATTTTAATAGAATAAAATATTATCAGCCACAAAGAGTGATTTTAAAGTCTCAGTTTTAATATGCTAAAAGAAGTTTTAATAAATTAAAATTGCTAGGTTTTATGGTGATTTTTTACTGAATTATTTAGATCGATTAAGCATGATTTTAATAGGTTAAAAATGGCACTGCACGTGAATATAATTTTTGGGTCATTATGTTTTAATCGATTAAATAATTTCAATATGTTAAAACCTCTTCATATTTTTTTAAGAATATTTTGATCATTTTATTTTAATATATTAAAATAAAGTTTAATAAAATTGTCAGTGATATATATATATATATATATATATATATATATATATATATATATATATATATATATATATATATATATATAAAGCTTTACTTTCTCAACCATCGTACACAAGATTTGAATCAAACTTTTGTGTCACTTACTTACTTTTTGAGAGAATCAGATCGGCTTTTACACAAGATCTGGAAGGCTTTTTGGGTTTTATTCTTATGATGTATAGAAAGTTGTATTTAAATTTTCACTTCAGTTATCTTTGTACCTATACAATTATTATTTTCTAGGTGATAATTTTCTTTTAAATATGTAATTTTGGGTGTACTACAGTGTTTTGGTTAGGGAATTTTGAAAAATGTGTTAGTGAGGGATTGTCACTAAAATTGAAAAGAGATGTTCTTAAAAGGATCAAGAAAATTATTGACTAAATAGGTATTCTACTATGATTAAACTGTAGTGTTTTAATATTAGTAAAACTCTTAGTTAGATTTGACCAATGACTAGATATACCGAAAGTGAACCATTATAAATCTTAATTTCGTGTTTTTTTTTCCCCTTAATTCTATGTTGAGTTGTTTCTTTATACATTCTTGTGTGTTGGCATCCAAAGCATTAGATAAAATTTCCATTTTTAGCTTAAATCATAAATCTTTGAAAAATAAAATTTTAAGTTCCATTTACCCGCTTTTGAACTCAGTCATTTTTTTTAATAGATATTAGGACATTTTTAATTGATTAAAACATATTTT